TTGGATATTTAGTAGCCAAAGAGTATGGATTTTTTGGCTGATAGTTTATGATCCTCAGAAAAATTGGTGAAAGGCATATTGGAAAACTCACCCAAATGTGGCAGGGTTTAGAGAGCCCGATGAAAAGTGTAGGATTTTATCTATAAGGATACACATCTACTAAGAGCTTGGCATACTGTAAAAATGGATTGTAAAGTATTTTCTGTCATTTTAATTTGTTAAAGGTGGATTTACCTTACTTGATATGGTGCATTAGTTGTTTGTTGAGTAATATTTAATATTTAGTCTAAGCTGATTTTAGTTTGTTTGTTACAGTAAAAATCTGAAAATGTAAAATCTTCTTGTGCGATTCTTTCCATCCTTACCTAAGAAATTCATAAGTTTCCAATTTCAATGGGAATCTTAATACAATTTAAGTTTAATTCAAGTAGAGGAAAACCTCATCCTTTGACTAGGACTATAGACCCTTTTAGGCTCAAAACTAAGGTAGTCAATTTGAGACCATAACTTCCACTTCTACTTTCTCACAAGAAATACTGGTTCTACTTTTACAATTGTGCCTCCTTTGAACCCATCTTTTGTTGCAAGATCATCTCATTTTGCCTTGAACCATCATCCCTTTCAACACATGATCCATCCTGCCTTCCATGCACTTACAGATTCTCCATTTTGTTCCTTCCTCCCTGTTTCTTCTATGACTGTATTTGCTTCCATTTCATTCCATGAGTGGTCTGTCTGAAGGCAGATCCTTGGCTCATTATCTGCTCATGTTCATCATGAGCTATTTCCCTGGCAGGTTTCGTCAGTGTTGATTTGCCATTGATTTCCAATTTCAGTGCAGAACAAGGAAGCAGGTCCCAAGTCCAACATGGCTATTGCACTCTACTTGCTTATGAACTGTTAAATTCCTTTCTCTGGTTCTGATGAAAAACCACCAACCCAAATCATAAACAAAATCAGAAATTGCTGCAAAAACTCAGCAGGTCTGGCAGCATCTGTGGAGAGAAAGCAGAGTTAACTTTTTGGGCCCAGTGATCCTTCTTCAGAACTCAAAACATAAATTCTGTTTTCTCTCTCTTCAGATGCTGGTTCATTTGTTCAGAATTTCTAGCATCATTATCGAACTTCCAGTATCCACAGCATTTTGATTTTGTTTTGTCATCCTTCTGAAGTGTGATTCCATCCATTAAAGGCTTTTTTTTTCAATTTTGCTTGGGCTCCTTGATGCCACAGTGAGGTGGGCCAAGTAGACCAAGCTGTGGAGGCAAGTCATTGGGTGTCTTTAAGGCAGAGAGATAGGTTCTTAATTAGTAAGGGGATCAAAGGGTTGCGGGCAGAAGGCAAGAGAATGGGGTTGAGAAACATGTCAGCCATTATCAAATGTTGGAGCAGGCAGAATGGCCTAATTCTGCTCCTGTATCTTATGGTCTTTTTTTTTAATAGATCAGAACATTTAGATACAGTGATCGTCATCTCATAAAGGTTTAGGTTGGTTACAGAAAAAACAATGATAAACATGCCAGAGTAAGTATAATTAACTGGGAAAAGGCCACTTCAATGGGATCTGAAATAAAAACAGAAAATGGGGAAGAAACTCAGCAGGTCTGACAGCATCTGTGGAGAGAAAGAGTTAATATTACGAGTCCAGTGAAGAGTCATATTGGACTTTCTCTGTCCACATCCACTCCCCAGATTTGTTTTTATTTGAATTATCTCTGCCTACTGTCATCCCGTATGAGCTGCTTATTATATAGTGAAGTATAATTATCGCGTACAACTTCAAAAGAGCATAGATAAGTTGATGGAATACATGAAAAAGTGGCAGATGAAAGCTAATATAGAGAAAGTGTGAAGTGATTTATTTTGGTAGGGAGAACATGGACAATATAAAATAAAGAGCATAATTCTAATAGGGTGTGCAGGAGCAGGTTGAGAGTATAGTTAATAAAGTATACAGTATCAATGGCTTTATTAATAGGAGCATTGAGTACAAGAGCAAGGAGGTTACGTTGAAATTGCATAAGGCATTACTTTGCTCTCAGTTGGGATGTCATTTTCAGTTCTGGGCATCATATTTTCGGAAGACATTATAGTATAAGCATAGTCTTTGTGTGTGTCTGATTTACTTGCTTATTTACTGATAATGAGACGTAGTTGACCATGAGAAGTGGTTTATTATTCACTGTCAAATTGGATCACAAGATATATAAATATAATACTATGAAACCTGCCTTTCCCTCTAATTTCCCTAGTGACCTTACAGTTCTTAAATTGTGAACTGGTTTAAAATCTGCATTGGAAGCACAAAATGGTAAAAAGGTTTTTACTAGCCTGGTTGCAGCAGCTGAACTGAGGTTGAGACTGTTCTTCTCACTCTCAAGGTTCTTGCTTCTTGTGCTGACTATGTCTCTGGAGTGTTAGCCCCTTTGGATTCAAATGGCTCCTTTTAAATACAGTTCTCGGTATCATGCCCAAGTACAGTGGCTAACTATCATTTACTATGTCTGCATGGTAACTGGCATGCAGACTCTTCCTATGTAGTCACAGCAGTTTGATACAGCAATTAACATAGTTCAGTTACTCCAGTGAATGAGTTTCTGTCCCAGGAAGGGTGTTACAAAAGGGAATATTAGATATTGTAGTTTCCCTGTTGACTGAGCTGACCCTACGAGATGGGCTGTCTCAGAAACACTGAAAACAGAAAGTGGTGGAGATCACCGCGGGTCAGGCAGCATCCATGGAGAGAGAGCAAGTTGTCTCAGAAACAGTTCTACCAAAACTCCGACTTATTATTCCATCTGAAACCTTGCAGCATTGTCTCATCAACACCTATTCAACATAGTCAATCAAGGTAAATGGCTTGCTTATCTTTCTAGCTTGATCCAATTTGACATTGAATTCTGCAAGCTTCCTGGCTTACTATCTTGGTCCCCTTCCCAGCATGCTGTTCAGCTGGCCAATTTTGCTTTCAGTGTCCCAAGGAGCTGTTATTTATTTTAAAAGGACATTACACTACCTACCTTTCCTCCCTTTTAAACCAATGAGTTATTTACAAATTTGGTTCAAACTTAGTTTGCCACTGGCATGGGATGGGGGGCCCTCAGGTTTAAGTGTTTAATGAACTTCTTACACATCCGAGACATTAAAACCCATTACACAGAAAATGTTATCAAAAAAAATTACATAAAAACATTATCAAAAAAAATTACAAAACTAAAAAGCTACATCAAAAACAGCAAATAAATAGTTTGCATTGTACCCACAATGCCTGTTGCCAGTTGCAATAGCTGGCATCAATTGGAGTTCTTTCGTCATATCCATCTACATGGCTCATTTGTTTTGTATCATGATGATGCCTATTAGTCTGGACAGCTCCCTTTTTCACCAAGCAAATTGACCAATAGTGTAGTGAGGCATACCAGAGTCAGTGGCATAAAAGGCATTTGTGCTTGCCTACATTGGTCCGTGCATTAAGTATAGGAGTTAGGTTGTCATCTGGTGACTTTACAGGACATTGGTGGGGCCATTTTTGGAGTACTGCATTCAATTATGGTCGCCTTTCTATAGGAAGGATGTTATTAAACTGGAAAGGTTACAGAGATTTACAAAGGATGTTGCTGGGATTGGAGGGATTGAGTTAAAGGGAGAGACTGAATAGGCTGGGATGTTTTTCCCTGGAATGTAGGAGGCTGAGGGGTGACCTTATAGATGTTAATAAAATCATGAGAGGCATAGATAAGGTAGATTAGAGGGAATAGGTTTAAGGTGAGAGGGGAAAGATTTAAAAGGGACCTGAGGGGCAACATTTTCATACAGAGTGTAGCGCTTTTGAGGAAAAAACTGCCAGAGGACGTACTGGGTGCAGGTACAATTATAACATATAAAAGACATTTGGACAGGTACATGAATAGGAAAGGTTAGATGGATATGGGCCAAATGCAGGTAAATGGGACAATTTTAGTTTAGGAAACATGGTTGGCATGGACAAGTTGGACCAAGGAGCCTGTTTCCATGCTGTATAACTCTACGATGATTGCTGAGTGTGAAAGGAGACGGATCCGTGGGTGTATCTGGATATTCGAGGTCTAGTCCCAGAAATCCTTCCACCAGGTGGTGACTTTAATTTCAGCTATCTCACCCTTCAAATCTTTGATGTGATTTACTATTCCAGTAAAGATTTATGGGCACTAATCAATTGTAATTGGACCTGATCCAATCTGTCCGGCAGGAGTTTTACTCCTGTCATTTTTTTAAAAGTAATTCCCAACTGTATCCTTGAATTCGTCACTCGTATCAACATGGGTCACCTCCCTTCTGTGAATGTCTGGCAGTTCATTTAGGTTTATTTGTGTGGGGCTGTGAGGACTAATACAGAATGTGGTGTTGGGTATATTACATGTCACTGCTCTGTACCAGTATTCCCTGAGTGACGTTGTTAACCCTCCTGGCTGAAGACAACTCTAGTGATTTCAGTTGTCATGCTCCAAACCTCAAGGGTGCAGTTTAAATTAATGTTTGTCCTGAATCCACAGAGTGCATGTTCATTCGGATAAACCAGATAGGGACATGCAATAGTCTATTCATTTTGTTCACAGTTGCTCAGAGTCTCTCCTTCTTCTCGACTCCATATAGAGGAATGTCATGATACCCCATCCATATTTCATTCTGTATAACACCAATATTCTCGCCTTCCAAAGTGTTTCACCTGATCTTATGGCTGGGAGTGACTGAGATTCCCAGCACCATAAGACCATAAGTCATAGGAGCAGAAATTAGGCCATTTGGCGCATTGAGTCTGCTCCGCCATTCAATCATGGCTGATAAGCTCCTCAACCCCATTCTTCTGCTTTCTCCCTGTAACCCTTGATCCCCTTTATAATCAAGAACCTATCTATCTCAGTCTTAAATTTTCTCAATGACCCGGCCTCCACAACCTTCTGTGGCAGTGAATTCCATAGAGTCACCACACTCTGGCTGAAGAAGTTGCCTAGAGCTTCACCAAGGGTGCCTCTGCAGTTTTCATTAAACCACACTTTGGTCAGGTGTCTCAGGAAGATGCTTGCATGTAATTTGTTTCTGAACCAGGGGCTCCAGCTGTTCATCACTGAGCCAGGCTGGCACTCCCCCCTGTCTGGCCTGACTGAGATCCAGTCTCAGCTGCTCAATCCTGTAGTTCCCATGGATGCTGCACAGGGTGCAGGTTTGCTGACTGCTCTCAGCAATGATCTTGTGCTGAATGACCTGATAGTTTTGCATGGCCTTTAAGTATGATCACTAGGTGGTGACTAGCTTGGTTCCAAGTCGTCTCTCGCAGCACCCTGCTGGTCATCCTCGTTTATTCCCTCCAAGGCATGTTTAACTTGTTGGGTCAAGACTCTGAGCGTGGTATCCAGATCAGCCACATCATGGGTATTAACAGTCAGCAATCCTGCCCCATAAGCAGTAGCTAGGTTGTTGATCAGGTCTCAGTTCCTGCGAATACTCAGCTTGTCTAGGCTTGCCTTTGTAGCTCCCCATCCCCAGTCCCAGGATTCTCTGAGTCAGGGGCAGGTACAACTTGTGAAGCAGGGAAGGGCACTGTGCTGCTCGGTGAATTCCTGTTATATCCATGATCTCAGGCAGCAATTCATGATGGATCCTGTCAAACAGGATCTTGCCTGTCGGTTTTAATACAAGTTTGTTCCATGGACCAGGGGTAATGTCAGATCAAGCTGGGAGGGGGCCCTCACTGCTGGTCTGGTCCATTTTAAATCTCATTCTATGAACTGTCCTGATTTGGCTTCCCTGGGCACCGATGCCCTGTTTCTCAGCCCTTCTCTGGGTTGTGGGCTAAACAGCCCTAACCTCTGCACCCATTTGTAGAAATTCCCCACCAATCCTTATGCTGATATAACAAAGAGTGGATCTCCTGTTGGGTTTCCTGTGCACAGTGAGTTGGTCACTACAACTAAAAGTGACCGTTTATGCTGGGTGAACCCATAGAATCCCGTCTTTGCGTATCGCCGCTTCGGTAGAGCAAACCACAGCAGAGTATCTCCACTTCCCATACAACGGGCAATACAGTAACTACATATACACCAATAACGATACAAATGTCAGAGAACATGTTGAACGCAATCCATCTCGTCACTTGTAAAGATCCTTGAGATATAGGCTACTTGAAAAAAAATCAAATGTACTTTCTGTACCATGGTTTAATCTCTGAGTCTCCGTCTCATTTTAATGAAAGGAAATTTTAAAGCTTAAAATCCCACTAAATGTTAAAATCCGAATACCATCACCCATCTCATTTTAATATTCAGATCACTGCCATCACCTGACAGTGCTCATGCTCCAAACAAAAACAAAGTTGCTGGAAAAGCTCAGCAGGTCTGGCAGCATCTGTGGAGGAGAAAACAGAGTTAACATTTCAGGTCCGGTGACCCTGTTCAGGTATGGGATGGGGAAGAACTCTGAGGAGGCGGGGGAGTGGCGCTGGGTGCTCTGTTAGATGGGGAAGCAGTGTCCACTGGTTTGATTCTCCTCAGCCCAAGTCTCCTGTTTGAGGGCATCAATCTGTACATGGGCTGAGTGTGGACAATATATTGGTTGCCCCTTGAACTGGTTTATATGGTACCCTCCCTGTTTGCCTACTGCCAGCTGTAATTTGTAGACTGAAAGACTCCATTTTTCAATGATGGGGTAAGGCCCAGTGTATCTGGTTCTGAGTTGGAACACTCTAAGCATCACTGTGTCCCCTGATTTATAGTCTATGGGGTTCATGTTTTTGTTCCACAGAATGTAATGAGTTTGTCTTGCCTTCCCCAATCCACGATACTCACCCCTTTTCTGGTCTCCCCAGAAATTGTTTAATGTATTTGTTTTTGGTTAGCAGTTGGGGTGTAAAACCTATTGCTTGGGTTATGATATTGCAGATTACCACTAGGGCTAGTGGTCATATCTGATCCCACAGCTGTCCTGCCAGATTGCCTCAGAGAGTATCCCAATGGGTTCATTCTTGCCGCTTTTGTTCAAAAAAGCACAAGCTATGCTCTGCTTTGCTTGAAGCTGCGCTTTTAACTGCTCAATCTCCCTTAAGTATTTTTGTGCAGTCTCCTGTTTTTTACTTGCTGGGTTTTGTTTTCTTTATTCATTATTCATTAATGGGATGAGGACGTCTACTGGCTAGGCAGCATTTATTGTCCATCCCTAATTGCCCAGAGGGCAGTTCAGAGTCAACCACATTACTGTGGGTTTGGAGTCACATGTAGGTCAGACCGGGTAAGGATGGCAATTTCCTTCCCTAAAGGACGGCAATTTCCTTCCCTAAAGGACATTAGTGAACCAGATGGATTCTTATGGCAATTGACAATGAATTCATGGTCATCATTAGATTCTTAATTTCAGATATTTTATTGAATTCAAATTCCACGAACTGCTGTGGCAGGATTCGAACCCGGGTCCCCAGAATGTTATCTGGGTCTCTAGATTAACAGTCCAGTGATAATACCACTAGGCCATTGCCTCCAGAAGTTATAGTTGACTTCTGGGGTGTACTACCCATATCCTGCTCTGTAGATCTTCACACTGGTCTCACACTTGGGTGACTTACTGTTGGTCCTGCTATCTTAATAATTCTACCCTTTTTTTCTGATGATCCAAGCTGTCAATCATAATTTGCTGACCCTCCAACCGAGTATCAAATCATCTGCACTGTGTACCATTTGTCCTCTACCTCCTTTGGTCAATTCTTCAACTTTTCTATCCGTTGCAGCTTTCTCTTCCTGCAGGATACTGACAGGCTGCCACAAGATTTCCATTTCAGTTATAGCGCTTGCTATTGCAATTTCCTTTCTTACTTTATCCTTTACGTTACTCTTAGTGTATTCTCCTCACAACTTAAGCTGGCTCTTGGACCCTGTAGGGAAAGTGAAGAACTGTTTTGCTATGGACCTCAACATTTTGTGGTGAGCTTGTGGATGAACACAGACTATGTCTCATGTTCTTTTGGTGCCATTATTTCATTACAGATATTTCGACCAGTTTAATACCGAGAAAGGGATTTACCCCAGTGCTCTTACTCTATAAATTGCTCTTACTAGGTGAAACTGACAGAGGAATATGGTTCGCCATTCTGCTGCTCTGGGTCCGAATGTCACCCTCCTGGTCTCTTCCTGTCTGTTACTACTTTGCAAGTCTCTCACCCTGTATCTGGCTTCTTTTACTCAGGTTGGTGACCCAGTATCTGCCTCCTGTCCAACTTTGTCAAGAATTTGGGAATCAACTGTGTTTGGGATCCGGCTTAGACTAAATTCCTGTTCCAGTCCCTCTAAATCTGAGGCGTGTCAGAAAAAAGCATGTTTGACCCTTCTGACACTACCAGGAGATAGGTTTTAATCCCCTTCTCCAGGCTTGACTTCAGAATTTGCCACACCTCTTTCCAACTTCTCCCAGTTGTTTGTTCTACTGTTCAGAACATTGGCTTATAGCCCAATTACAGGTCGATCGGTCTGGATTCTCATTCGTTCCTTCGTTGTTAGCCTTCACAAGGGGCAGCTGCCTTCTTAACAACCAGCTCAAGGGGAAACAACGGGGAGAAATAAAGCCCCAGGCTTATGGTTCACATGCGGAGGGTTAAATCACTTATACTCGAGTCACACTTTGGGTGCCAAAAATGTAAGCATTGTTTTCGTGTCTGATTTACTTGCTCGTTAGACATAATAAACCACATCTTATGGTAAGCTATCATTGAAAGACAAGATATATACATGAAATTCTTTGAAACGTGCCTTTCCCTCTATTTCCCGAGTAACCATATAGTTCTTAAATTGCTATACTGTCACACTGGTTTAAACTCACTCAGAGATAGTAATAACTGCAGATACTGGAATGAGAGATAACAAAGTGTGGAGCTGGAGAAACACAGCAGGCCAGGCAGCATCAGATGAGCAGGAAAGTTGATGTTTCGGATCGGGACCCTTCTTCAGGTCCCAACCCGCAACGTCAACTTTTCAACTCCTCTGATGCTGCCTGGCCTGCTGTGTTCCTCCAGCTCCACACTGTGGTAACACTGGTTTAAAATCTGCTTTGGAAGCACAAGATGGTAAAGAGGGTTATACTACCCCAGTTACAGCAGCTGAACTGAGGTTGAGGCTGTTGCTCTCTCTCTTGCATGGTTCCTGCTCGTTGGGCTGACTTTGTCACTGGGGTGTCAGCCCCTTTGATTCAAGTGGTCCCTTTAAATATAGTTCTCTGGGCTATACATAAATACAGTAGCTTACTATTGTTTACAATGTTGACATGGTAACTGACATGTAGATTCCTGCTACCAAGTTACAACAGTTTGATACAGTAAGTAACATAATTCAGTTAATCTAGTCAATGAGTTTCTGTCCCAGAAAGGGTGTTACAAAAGGCAGTAATAGATATTATAATTTCCCTATTGGCTAAGCTGACCTGAGGAGCCGGACAGTCTCAAAAACTGTTCTATTGAAACTCTCGACACATTGTTCTATCCGAAACCTCTCAGCATTGTCTCATCAACACCTATTCAATATAGACAAACAGGAGGATGGAAGAACACAGCAAGCCAGGCAGCATCTGGAGGAAAGGAGAAGTCAACATTTCATGTATTACCTTTCCTCAGGACTGAAGAACTGACTCCTGAAGAAGAGTAATACCCGAAACGTTGACTTCTCCTTTCCTCCAGATGCTGCCTGGCTTGCTGTGTTCTTCCAGCTTCCTGTTTGTCTACCTTGGATTCCAGCATCTGCAGTTTTTTTTGTCTCTATTCTATTTAATAAAGTCAAACAAAGTAAATGGCTTGCATGTCTGTCAGTTCTGATCCAATTTGACAGTGAATTCTGCAAGCTTCCCGGCTTACTATCTTGGATCCCTTCCCAACATGCTGTTCAGTTGGCCAATTTCACTTTTAGTGTTCCAGAAGAGTTGTTATTTATTTAAAAGGGACATTCCACTACCTACTAGAGAGAATTTGGAAAAGATTCATAAGAATGGCTCCAAGAATTAACAACTTCAGATATGTAGGTTAATGAATGAAACTGGAATTGTTTTCCTTAAGAGGAGATTGAGAAAAAATTTGATAAGGGGTGTTCAAAATCACGTGAGGTTTGGACAGCGCAAATGGGGGAAAACGTTTCCATCGGTGGAAGGATCAAGAACCAGAGCACAGGTTCAAGGCAGATGACGAAGAAACAATGGCAACATAAGAAAAATATTTCTTTTACAGTGTTTAGGATCTGCAATACACCATTTGAAAGTTTAGAGAAGGTGCGAGGTTTTCAGGAAGGAATTGAATTATTACCTGAAAAGGAAGGATGTAAAGGTTTACAGGGAGCAGTTCTTGCTCCAACAGAGATTTGTCATAGACATGGTGGGCGTTCTGTGATTATCAGTTAGAATAAGGCTATGAGGCAATCTGAAACTATGTGCATGACCAGAGTTTAGTGTCAGGGGAACAGCTTATTGGTGAGTTTAAGTTCTTAATTGTATAATTCGCGATTCTTCACTTTGCTTGATCACTGATACGGTGGTATCCAACTGGGTTAAATTTGTTGTTTCTGCATGGATAACACATAACCGACAATCACCCACATTTTTGGATAGGCGCCAGTGTCATTACTGCAATGCAATAGCCTGGTTATGGGAGCAATCATGCAGGTTGACAGCACTATTGCCAGGATTCTATCAAAACTGTGGTCGTTGCCCTGTCCAATTCACTCAGCTACATCCTAGTAACATATTTGGCAAACTAAACCTGCATGCAATACAGTGTCTCCATAATGAAGAAAAGCCATAAGTCTGCTTATGGTTCATGAATATCACAGTTTGGTCCTTCTGGGCTCATTATTGTCTTCACACTTGGGTAGAAAACAAGTCCCTCAAGCTTAGAGTGCACAGAGAAATATTGCTGAATCAAACTCGCTTCACTCACCCAACGAACTTATGGCCCCAAGTTCTTTCTTGTAAACATTTAAAATGTAGCCTCAATCCCATTCAGATTTAATCAGATCAATGTAAGATGAATGGCTCTTCTCTGAGGCTTTTACACAAAGACTGGCACACTCAACTTATGGCCCTGGAATTGTCAAGCTACCAACTCACTGCATCAGTACCATGCTCCTTCAGAACAGAAAGTAATCAAGTGTTCATCTTAGCGCAGCTCAATGGACTTTCTGCTTCAGAGCTTGGATCAATGCTCAGTTCTGAGGAAGGGTCACCGGACCCAAAACGTTAACTCTGTTTTCTCCTCCACAGATGCTGCCAGACCTGCTGAGCTTTTCCAGCAACTTTGTTTTCATCTCCTGACTCAACATGCAAGCACACTTTGCAGCAGGTTTGGCAGGACAGTGCTCAAGAGTGGGATTGCCAGCTGATAAAATCACCACAGTTATAGCCTGTAGATGTTGGTGTGTTCGCTGAGCTGGGAGGTTTGATAGCAGACACTTCGTTCCCTTACTAGGTCACATCCTCAGTGCTGTGGAGCCTCCTGTGAAGCACTGTTGTCCTGTGCCAGTTCAAATTTTTATGGTCTGGCTTTTGCTGCTTCCAGTAGGTGCCATTCTAGCTGTGCATTGTAATGGTCAGTATAATCAAATCTAATTCAATGTGTTCGTTGATGGAGTCTGCAGATGAATGCCAAGCCTCCAAGAATTCCCTGGCTGTCCTCTGTTTGGCTTGTTCAATGATAATAGTGTCGTCCCAGCTGAAAATGTGGTTTTTCTCATCTGTGTGTATTGAAACCAAGGACTTCTGGTCATGTCATTTCATGTCATGTCAATGGACATAGGATACAAACAGAAAAACAGCAGTAGATAGGGTCAAAAGAACTAGAAATGGTAAAACAAAAAAAAAAAGTATAAATTAGTGGCTTTTTAATTAAATGCACTTAGTATTCAGAACAACAAAAATGAAATAACCACACAAATACTGGTTAATAGCTATGATATTATAGCCATTGCAGAGAAGGGTTACAAGGAAATCAAAACAGGGAACTAAATATTCAGGGATACATGACTTTACAAAAGGACAGGCAGAATTGGAATGTGTAGTGGGGTAGCATTGTTGGTATATTATTGAAAAAGTACAAGAACAAGAAATGATCTTGAATCAGAAGATGTAAAATCCATATGAGTGGAGGTAAGAAATAAAAACGGAAAGGAAACACTGATAGTAATAGTGTACAAGCCCCCTAATAATAGCTATACAGTGGGACAGAGAATAAATCAGGAGATAATAATGGCATGTAACAAAGTCAAGACATTGACTAGGGGTGAATTTAATCTTCATTAAGATTAGGTTAGTCAAATTGGCAAAGGAAGACACAGGGAAGAATTCAGAGAGTGTACCAGGTCAGTTTTCTGTAACAATATGTTGTAGTTCCAACCGGGGATCTCCTAGGAAACAAGTGACCATAAGATGGCAGCATTTAGTATTCAGTTTGAGAGGGAGGAACTTGGGTCAGAAACAACTATGCTAAGCTCAAATAAGGATAATTACAAATTGAATGAAGGCAGAGCTTCCTCGAATGGGCTGGGAAAGGAGTTTACTGGCAAAAACAGTTCAGGATTATTCCAGACACTTAAGACAATAGTTAATGGCTTATAGCAAAGAAATATCCCAGCAAGGAAGGAAGATTCTAAGAAGAGGATAAGCCCACCATGGTTATCCAGGGAAGTTGAGGATAGCATCAGACTGAAAGAAAAAAAAATTAATATAGCAAAGATTAGTGATAAGACAGAGGATTGGGAAAGTTTTAAAAATCAACAAAAGGCAAACAACAACTTAATAAAGTCTTGATAAACTTACAAGTAATATCAAGATGAACAGCAAGTTTCTTTAAATATATAAAAAGGGAGACAGAAGCCAAAGTAAACATAAGCCCCTGAGACAATGCGACTGGATAAATAGTAATGAGGAACCGGAAACAGCAGAGGAGTTGAATAAATATGTGCATCGGTCTTCAGAGAAGACATGATGAGCATCCCAAACTTACTAAATAGGCAAGGATCAAAAAGACAGTAAATAAATGTAATAACTATCACCACAGAAAAAGTGCTAAGAAAATTAATGGGTCTAAAGATTGAAAAGCCACCTGGATCTGATGAGATGCGTCCTAGGATCTGAAGGAAATAGCTACAAAGACAGTGGATGCAGCAGTAGTTATCTTCCAGGAATTCTGTGATTCTGGAAAAACTCCCAGAAGATTTGAAAATACCAATTTAACATCTTTATTTTAGAAGCGAAAGAGACAAAAAATAATAAATATTGGCTAGTTAGGTTAACATCTATTATTGCGTAAATGTTAGAGTTTATTATAAAGGATATAATAGCAGAGCATTTAGAAATGCATAATATGATCAAGCAGTCAGTATGACCTCAAGAAGGGAAATCATGCCTGACTAATGTACTGGAATACTTTGAGGAGATGACAAGTAAGATAGCTAAAGGGAAAGCAGTGGATGTAACATATTTGGATTTTCAGAAGGATTTGATAAAGTACCACTCATTAGGATACTTTAGAAGATAAGCGTCAATGGTGTTTGAACTGGTGTATTTGTAATGTATAGAGGATTGGCTAATTAATAGAAGACAGAAAGTTGACCAAAAAAGGGGTTATTTTTAGACTGGCGACTTGTAACTGATCATGCGTCACAGGGATCAGTACTGGGGATGCAATTATTTACAGTATAGATTCATGACTTTGATAAGGAAAGTGAATGTACTATTGGGAAGGCAAGTGGTGAGAATGACAAGAGACTGTGGAGGGATATGGACAGCTTAAAACACTGGGGAAAAAAACTTGGCGGACAGAATATAATGTTATAAAATGCAAGGTTACGCAATTTGGCATGAAGCATAGAAGCTGGATATTACTTAAATGGAGAAAGACTGCAAAAATCTACAGAACGGAGGGATTTGGGTATGCTCATCCATGAATCACGAAAAGTTAGCATCCAAGTTCAGCAGGTAATAGGGAAGGCAAATAGAATGTTAGCCTTTATTTCAAAGGGAATGGAATGTAAAAGTTTTCCTAAAGCTATGTAAGGTACTACTCAGACCACAGCTGGAATACTGTGAACACTTTTGGACCTTTTATCCACAGAAAGATATACTGGCATTGGAGCTGGTCCAGAGAAGGTTCGTAAGGCTGATACCAGGTATAGATGGTCTGTCTTATGAGGAGAGGTTGAGTAGGTTGGGCCTTTACTCACTTGAATATAGAAGACAAAGAGGGACCCTTCCTGAAACATACAAGATTCTTAGAAGAGTTGACAGGATAGATGTGGAAAGGTCGTTTCCCCTTGTGGTAGACTCTAGGGCCAGAGGACATAACCTCAGAATAAAGGGTTGCAAAATAAAGATGAAGAGGAATTTCTGCTCTCAGAGGATTGTGAATATGTGGAATTTCATTACCACTAAGTATATTCAAGGCTGAGATGATTTTTAATCAGTAAGCGAATCAGGAAGTTTGGTGGAAAAGTGGCATTGAGGATTATCAGGTCAGCCATGATTTAATTGAATGTTAGAACAGACTTCATGAGCTAAATGGCCTACTTCTGCTATGTCTAAGCAGTATCTTCTTTTCTATTAGACACCATTCCACATAATCTCGCATTCTGCTTTAATGTGTGTGGACCCAAGTTACGGCACAAAGGCAGTATCTTTGAAATGATTTTTTTAAAATTTGTTTTTTAAAGTTTAACAGTAAACAAATTTGTTTTTTCTTTGACTCATGAAATCTTGTTGATTGGTTCTTTGTTGTTCAAAGCAAAGACAGTTAATTACATTTTTAATTGGATACAAGTAAAGGCTTGTGCATTGTTGATTTAATTTAATCTCAGAAGCGATCTTCAAGGCTGGTTCAAAACTCATGTTGGATTACGACCAACCTGATTATAACCATCTTACCAATGGCCATGTCAAGGAGTTCACATGGGATGACAGTAGACAGATAACTCAAATAAAAACAGTGCTTGAAAAACTCAACACATCTGACAGCAAGCGTGGAGAGAGAAAGTCGCTTCATTGTACTTAAAACATTAACTCTGGCTCTATTTCCACAGGTGCTATGAAACTGTTTTGCCAGCACTTTCTTCAGATCCCCAGCATCTGCAGTACTTCTTTTTTGTTTGAGAGATAACCCATATTGGCTGTTCCAATGATTGGTGAACACCTTACAGAATTAACATAGAGGGTTCCATGGAAAGGGCAAGATACTCAGAATTGGTCTGCTGCAGATATGGGCGGCGAGAGCGGGAACAGGCAGCCTTTGGCAGCCAGCAATGAGAGTGAGAGCAGGCAGCCCAGGGTGGCTGGCGGCAAGAACAGGAGCAGGCAGTCGGCAGCAAGAGTGGGAGCAGGCAGCCTGGTGTGACTGGCAGTGAGAGCAGGAGCAGGCAGCCTGGGGTAGCAGCAAGGGTAAGTTTGAGCCCAGAGCGGGGGGCGGGTGGAAACCTTGTGAGGAGTGCGAGGGCTAGGCTCTTATGGACTGTGGTATTGAACCATTAACTGTGTTTCTTTGTTTTCCTACTTTTCAGTAAGGAGGACTGTAATGTTTAACTTTTTAACTTTGTACCAAGACTCTGTACCTAGGTACCCTTGTACTTAAGATGTCACTGTACTCACATGAGTACATGTGACAATAAACCTAATTCAATTCAATAACCTCCTTCTGCACTATAACAATTCCATGATTCTGTAAATTGCTGAAACTGAGATTGCCAATTAGCACTGCTGGGAACTGGATTAAGACTCTCTAAATCATGTTACAGCCAGCAGAACTATGCTAGCATACAGTGACATACAGTTTTTTTTTAAATAGAGTCTCAGTAACTGGAGTACCTTACAGGTATCCTTTCCAGCGAGGAGTGTCCATGCATGCACATACAGTTACTGCGTCAGTGCAAAGTTTCTCTCTCTCCACTGTCAAGATACAGTTCCATGGACTACGGTGCAAAATACTACCTCTGATGTCTTAGCAGAACTGCACAGTAGGAAATTCAACCATGGAGGGCATCATCATAATTTTCATACTTCCAACAGATGACGCTGATTAGAATCAGCAACTTTGCGATTTAGGAAGGGAGGGAATCAGCCAATAAGCAGAGCCAAGTAGCATGTGACAATTTCCAGGTGAGATTAAATAGCCAGTACGGATACAGGAACGGTGGTGGCATGGTAGGAACATCACAGGACACGAGTTAAACACACACTGTGGAAATTGATAGAACGTAGGATAGAAACCTGCTGCCCTTACCTGGTTTGCTCCACATGCAACTCCAAGCCCATAGCAATTTGGTCAACTCTTAATTGCCCTTGAAATAGTCTAGCAATCCACTCAAATCACTACAAAGTCAAAAAGGACCATCTAGCATTAACCACGGCATCAGAAAGGACAACCAGCATTGTCAATCCTCAACATCCTCCTTTCTAACATCTGGAGACTTGTACTAATATTGGAAGAGTTTACTCTCAGATTACAAGCAATGTCAGGCTGTTCCTTGACTAAAGTGTGATTCCACAAGTATGACTATGTTCCAGGTAACACCATGATATTTCCTGGCTATATCCTGTCCCACTTTTCTTTGTCATTTATACAAATAATTTGGATGAGAATATAGGAAGTATGGTTAGTAAGTTTACAGATGACACTAAAATTGGTGGTGTAGTCGACAGTGAAGAAGGTTACCTAACATTACAAAGAGATCTTGATCAATTGGGTCAATGGGCTGAGGAGTAGCGGATGGAGTTTAATTGGGATAAATGCAATGTATTGCATTATGATAAACCAAACAAGGGCATAACTTATACAATTAATGGCAGGGCC